GCAATGATCAAATCTCTGTAAATTTTATAAAGTTTAAGTGTTTATTATTATTATTATACAGTATTTATAAAGCGCCAATAGTTCACTCAGCGCTGTACATTACAAAGGGGGACAGAACATGTGACAGAACAATACCAATACAATGCAAAACATGAGGGGATTGAGGGCCCTGCTCTTTCGAGCTTACAATCTAGGAGATCCATCAGGACCAGGTCTGTTGCTGACATGAGTAGAACAAATGTCAAAAAAGAGTTCTTCCATAGAGTGGCAATCTAGAACCTCCTGGGTAGTGGGATTGATGGAGGGGAGAACCATTTTCACTACATATTTAGCAATAGTGTGTTCATGTTGCTGTTGAACTGTGTTTGAAAGGACCCTGCGGGTTATAAAGCATGAAAAAGAGTTTTTAATTGAGGGGTAGTACATTTAGGTGGTGCTGAGATGAAGAGTTGCCAAATACCAGTCACAGTTATTGCTCTAATTCCTGTAGGCCTGTTCATATAGTTTGAAATAGAAAAGGTCTTTACCTGAATTTTTCATGGGAGACCGAAAGAAGTTCCGAACTTTTCACAGCTCCTGCGAGCTATATTTTTCCCTGCTTCCAAGAACCTTTACATCACCAAGCACCAAAGTGGGGTTCATTATTTCACTCAAGAACGAACCCCAATCCTGGGCACACCACCTTCGCGAGCAACACGATCTGGCTCTAACTTCGGTGGACTCTTTTTTTTTCACAGCAATGGAACAACTCTATGCTGATCCTTTCCTGTGTCAGACTTCGCAAGCTACAGCAGGGCAAAAGGCCTATTGAGGAATATGTTACCAATTTCCGCATATGGAGTTCTGACAGTCAATGGAATGAGTCTGCTCTCTGCTTCCAGTTTCGTCTTGGCCTTTCTGACACCCTGAAAGATGAGCTTCCCCGAGTGGGGGTACCTACCCGGCTAGAGAACCTGATAGACTTGGCTATCCACATTGATCGTCGGATCCGGGAGAGACAGGATGAGAAGACTAACGGGGAGATCTTGATATGTTCAGAAATGGGGACCCCTGTGCCCTTTACTACTGCTGTCCCATCAGAGTTACTTATCAATAAGGGAGAACACCTTAATTCTTCTAGAAGGAGCTTATGGATACCACCGTTGTCCTCTGCAGAACGTCTTCGACGACAGAAGTTCAATCTCTGTCTCTACTGTGGTGACTCAGGTCACTATGTATTGACGTGTTCAGTAAGACCTCATGAGCCCTCTCCTAGCTGGTTCTATATGATGCATCCCCAAGGAGCAAGCCGAACGCACTTCTCCTTCCACCTTCAATTACAACTGGCCAAAAGGACGATTACGGTCCCAGCCATTATAGACTCTGGTGCCTGTAGTTGTTTCATGGATGCAAGCTTTGCTACCCAAAATAAGATTCCTCTCTGTACGAAGGCACAAAGACTTTTGGTCCATCTAGCTGATGGATTCGGTATCAGTTCTGGTCCTGTGACACAAGAGACCATGCCACTTTTATGCCAGTCCTCCTCGGGAGAGCAGGAATTACTTTGTCTGGATATTATTACTTCTCCAATATTTCCGGTTATTCTCAGCATGCCCTGGCTAAAAGCACACAACCCATCCATCAATTGGTTGTCTGGGGAGATTCTTTTCCCTTCTGAATACTGTCTGAATCACTGCATTCCTAAAGAGTCAAGTGCAGCAACTCCTCTTCTTAGTATCCACCCTGATCCCGAGACAATGAAACTTGTTCCTGTTGATTACCATGATTATCTGGATGTATTTAACAAGAAGAGTGCCAATACTCTTCCTCCACATCGCTCCTATGATTGTCCTATTGAGCTTCTGCCCAGCGCCAAAACTCCTTTCGGGCGAATTTACCCTCTATCTGAAGTAGAATTAGAGGTCCTCTGGGGTTATATTGATGAGAGCTTGGAAAAGGGTTTATTCGGCCCTCTACATCACCAGCAGGAGCTGGCATCTTCTTTGTTGAGAAGAAGGATCACACCCTCAGACCTTGTGTGGACTATCATGATCTGAATAAGATAACTGTCAAAAATTGCTATCCCCTTCCTCTAATTCACAAATTATTCCAAAGGCTACGAGGGGCATGTATCTTTTCAAAACTGGATCTAGTTAGAATTTGCAAAGGAGACGAATGGAAGACGGCCTTTTGAACACGCTTTGGGCATTTTGAATACCTGGTGATGCCTTTTGGTCTCTGTAATGCCCCAGCAACCTTCCAACATTTTGTAAACGATATATTTCGGGACTATCTGGATCTATTTATTATCTATTCTATGGATGACATCCTAATTTGTTTCCAGTTCAATTGAAAGACATGGGGATCATGTAAAAAAGACTCTGGATAGATTACGCCAACATCACCTCTATGCAAAGGCTGAAAAATGCGAGTTCGAGAGGCAGACTATTCAGTTCCTCGGACTTGTGATCACCCCCGAGGGCATTGCTATGGACCCCAAAAAGGTGCTCTCTGTATTAAAATGGCCTGTTCCAAGAGACAGGAAAGCAGTGCAACGTTTTGTAGGATTTGCAAACTTTTACAGAAAATTCATTAAACTTTTCTGGGATCATTGCACCAGTAACACAGCTAACCAAGCAACATGCTACCTTCAGGTGGACCCCTGAGGCCCAAGCAGCCTTTGAACAATTAAAGACCTTGTTCACCTCTGCACCTATCCTGAAGCATCCAGATCCTGCTTTAGCCTTTGTCCTTGAAGTAGACGCTTCTGAAAATGCTGTGGGAGCCATTTTGTCACAACTACAGGGACTCAAATCCCTTTTGCACCCTGTTGCATTCTTCTCCAGAAAGCTAAATGCCTCTGAAAGGAATTATGATGTGGGAGACAGAGAGCTGTTAGCCATCAAGGCAGCACTTGAGGAATGGCGCTACTTACTGGAGGAAGCTTCCCATCCTATTCTCATTTTCACGGACCACAAGAATCTTGAATGTTTCAGAACGCCGAAACGTCTAAGGCCACGACAAGCAAGATGGGCACTATTCTTTTCCCGCTTTGTCTTTCATTTGACGTCCAGAACGGTAAGCCCAACGCATTCTCCCGTATGTTTTATGATCCAATTGTACAGTCTGAACCTGACACGATTCTGCCAGCCAAGAACTTTTTTACTTTTGCAGACAGATCTTGTAACACAAATAAGAGAAATGGTGGACGATCATCCACCCCCCATAGAGATGCATCTTCAGCTAAGAGACGGACTGTATTTTCACAAGGAACAAATTTCTGTGCCAGAACAACTCAGGACGCTTATTCTCAAAAGGTGTCATGATCACCGCTTAGCAGGTCACTTCGGGATCCACAAGACTTCAAATTTGGTCTCCCATTCCTTCTGGTGGCCAAACTCAATGAATGATCGCCAGAACTATGGTAGATCTTGTTCAGATTGTCTTCGGAACAAGTCTGACAAAGCCAAGACCTGGGGCCTGTTGGAATCTTTGCCCGTACCTAAATAACCATGGAATATGATCTCTATAGATTTTATTGTGGAACTCCCCCCCCCCCCCCCCCCCCCCCCCCCCCCCATCGGAGGGATTCACCACTATTTTTGTAGTGGTTGACCGCCTATCAAAGATGGCTCACTTCATTCCCTTGAAACTGACTCTTCCTGCTGCTGAAACTGCTTCTGCCTTCATCAAGGAAATAGTAAGATTGCATGGCGTTCCTGTCAACATTGTGTCCGATCGAGGAGTACAGTTTACATCCAAATTCTGGAAAGCTCTGTGTGAGGCACTAGAGATCGAATTGCGCTTCTTCTCTGCATACCACCAACAAACAAATGGACAAACGGAGAGAACAAACCAAACTCTGGAACAATATCTCCGATGCTTCTCCGGCGTTTTACAAGCGTTAAAAATGCTCCCCAAACACCCTGTGCATGACCCTGAATTTACACCCCTTCATTAATCTTGCTACACTTTTTTTTTTTTTTTTTTTTTTTTTGTTTGTGAAAGGTGCACATGTAGTCCAATAGCCTAGTTGCTTTCTCCTATAAAAGCAAAACTGGGTAAATGTTATCGCTCTGGGGCAACACTGACATTTATGCATCATATTTGTACTCTAAAAAAAAACCATAACAAATTGAAGAACCTCTTTTATATTCGGTTTGCTTTCAGCATTTTAAACATAAAAAGTGGTCAAATCGTGTTCTTCATTCCTATCTGACTACACAATGTCAGTGATGCAGATTGAGCAAGGTGAGCAGTGTGGGAAGCTCTGTATACACAATAGAGCCTCAGTACTAGGCACACAGGAGTGCCTGATAGGCTGATGATGATAATAGACACAGACTGCCAATGTACCAGTATGTGGAGGGGTTACTTACCAGTGTGCCCAGCAAGAAACATAGGGCTACTGTGATGTGTGTAATAAGATAGTGGGACTGAGAAGGAATAAAATCTGTCTGGTGAATAATGGCAAATGATTGATGTTTGTAGTGTAAATAGGATCAAATAGGAGATAGGGCTAGTTACTTTCAATGTAACCTATTTATACAGAAGGAATTTTAAAACTGGACCGAGGAATTCTTTATAATCACTTTTTAAAATATTCACCTAAAATATAATTAGATGTGGCCTATGAGCAATGCATTGTTCAGTAGAACTATCCACTGGGCAGTATGGGGAATCTTGTGTTTATTTTGGGCTTTCTGCCAGCTGTTTTCCAATGCAGAGTTGGCAATATTTTATGTAAACGCACATGCAAGTTGATGACAGATTACTAGAACTTGAAAGTCTCAGGGACTAGGTGCATTTCACATCTAGATGTAAACTGACATAGAATAAAGTAATGTGGTCAAAATGAAACCACTTAGTTGCTATCTCCTAAAATCATAAATTCTGTATGTTGCTATTGATCTATTAATAGTACAAAGCTTGTTTTACACTATATACTTACTGTATGTTTAATGTATTGCACAAATTATCTGATGTTTTGGAGATTCTGAATTCAAATATCTGTTTTTCAGTTTCTGCTAATTTTCCGCAAAGCTGCAGCTGGGGAGCTGGAAGAAGATAGTGGGCTAATGTCACTAGCTAAACTCTCTGAAATTGATGTATCCACAGAAGGTGTCATGGGTGCCAAGAACTTTTTTGAGGCCAAGGTAGGCTGAAATAATATAATTGAAAGAAGAGGGCACACATTGAACTGTGACTGATATAAACCACTGTTGTCCATCATTATTGGGAATAAACAGCATAAAATGAGCTACAGTATTTATATTGCAGATAAGATAAGATGTTCATATTGCATATATTAGCTTAATAGTTGCCTGTATATTTAATGCTCCCCCAAAATCTCAGTTTCATGTGGAAATCATAGCAAATAAATATCCTATCATACTATCATAGGGCAGAAGTCCAAGTCAAACAAAATTAGCAATGCCTTTTGCAGATACTGTGCCCAAAGTTTGTGATATCGGCAAGTACACAGACCTACTTGATACTCTTGCCTAGGCTCAATATCAGTGAATTGGAGAACTTAATTTGGGTAGTAATGGTTAGATTGTCAATGGTACAGTATTGGATATGTGCTGTTTGATCATTATGCATATAACTTCAGGTGTTTGGACATTGGCTAAAAAATAATGCTGCAGGGACATCAGCACATCACCCTATATAATCCCTTCCATTTTTAGCTAGCTAAAAAAATAATGCTGCAGGGACATCAGCACATCACCCTATATAATCCCTTCCATTTTTAGCTAGCCTCCATTTTTTTGCTAGTGATGGACTTTTTCTCTTTATTTTGAGACGTTTGCCTTCTCACTATAGAGGCTTCTTTCTATTTCTTCTAATGATTATTCAAGATTCCTGATGCACCATAGCTACTATGGCTCTTAATGTAGCTTGGAGGTCAGTTTACTCTTTGGCAGATCCTTAGGAGACTGTTCTCAGATCGCACTGAATAAAAGAAGAGAGACCAACCTATAATGTTGCTGCCATGCACTGGAGCCTCCTGCTGTAGGCACTCCCCTTGGCACATAGTGCAATGTGTAAAGTTAGCTGCAGGGTGTTTTACAGGTCCAAGGTGTGGTCTGCTCCCCGGAGGGTATACCATCATGCTGGATGAAACCATGATGGGGATTTATCCCTTGTTAATTTTGCCTGTGCGATCTTCCTTGGTAAGTACAGGGTAGAAGCCCTTTTAAACAGTCAGGCCAGGGTGCCACTTTTGTTGCTCTGGATCCTGACCCAACCAACCTTATTGTGGTGGCGGCGGCTAAAAGCTGGAAGGGTTGCGTTGACTTTAAAATCAACAAGCTTTCTGTTTGTTGCCTGTTTTGTGGCACCAAGTGCCAATGTGCATCACAGGTGCTGGCTGTGCAACCTGGGTGCTTACTGCACCTGCACCACCTCCCTTTCAGTTGAATTACTATGGTTGCACACTCTATGGGCACATCATTGGACTATCAACACCTTTGCGCTCTCTCCTGGTGACAGGGTATGGCTGCTGTTACCATATTACCTGGGTTTAACTGTGCGGCTTACTTGTTCTTAAGCCATTCCCTCCTTCCATAGCTGCAGAAGTCATGAACTCTCCTCTGACGACAACATTCACAAGCATAGAAGATCTCAAGGGCATAGGAAAGGGTCAAATGTACTTGCTAGCTCAGGTCTTCACTCTAGGGGGCTGCTAGTTTGTTCACTCAGTGTCCTGGTACCATATACTCTGACAGTTGCCCCCTGTCTTCCTTTGGCCATTCTGCTGGCCAATCTGCTACACCAACTTTATCTTTTCTACCTGGAGAGGAATTTTCTGCCACATTTGTCAGATTTTCTGGTGACATGGAGGCCATAGATAACCAGTCACAACAGTGCCCCTTCAACCTCTTCTCCTGAATCGGTCTTCGATTTTGCCCTTTTAGTCTGACATGTTACCGGAGGAGGAGGTGGCAGTTGTGGATCCCACTGAGCAGTCTGATCAGGATTAGATGCCTGTAGCTGAGATTACATCCGAGTTTAAGAATACCACAACTAACCTGAATCTTAGAGCTCTGAGGAAGAAGGGATTCCCTTCAAAACGCGTCGGCCTGACTCTGAGAATCTTCCCTCGTGGTTAGACTCGCGCTGGTCTCTGACTGCTTAAGTCTCGCTAAGGACTTTACACGCTTGTTTTACTTCTCTGTTTGTGTTTGGCCTATCTTGCACCCACATTATTCAAAGGTATGTGCACTCCTACTCGCCCTCATAAGAACTCAAAGAATCCAGGTTACAGGATACCTAGATGACCTTCTTCTAAAGGATTCAACTATCTGCAAACGTCTAGAGGAATAATTAGCTTCTTCAGGCTTTTAGTTGGGTAATCAACTTCCAAAAGTCTGCCATCCAGCTTTCCCTTCTGCTGGAATATGTAGGCCCCAGGCTAGACACAGCCCAGGCAAAAGTTTTCATTCCAGGAAACAAGCTTCTCTCTAAGATCTCAGACTCAAACATTAAGGTCTAAAAGTCATCCCTCAGTGAGATTCTCTGTGAGAGTTCTACACCTTATGGTTGCCTCATTCAATCTCTTACATTGAATGAGGAAACCATGTTCTCTTCACTCAGTTCGACTCAATATTTCTTCAACAGAACATTCTGTTGGACTGGAAGCAACACACTCCCATCTCTCAATGTCCCTATGCTTGGTGGATTGCCAATCCAGACTTGGAAAAGGAAAGTTGTTTCTCCCACACTTATGGAAAGTGGTAAGAACAGATGTCAGGCTTGGGAGGAGTGGGTGTTGGAGAAAGATAGGGGTGGGTGCGACTCATCTTCTCTCTAAGTTATATAAATTACTGCTGGGACAATTGACCAACACAACTCCTTACTATATCCGAGAGTGGGAGAGGGAACTGGGCAGATACCTGACAGACTGTAGTGTAGATAAAATAATATCCCTGGCCCACACTTGATCGGTAAATGCTAAAACACAGGAAACGTGTTATAAATTTCTATCCAGATGGTATGGGGTACCCAACTGGGTATCCCGTATTTTCCTGTGTGTGTCCGATTACTGCTGGAGAGGATGTGGGCAGAGACACTTTCCTTCATCTATGGTGGAATTGCCCAGTTATATGCACCTTTTTGGTCTGACATTTGAACAATCATTCATGAGATAACACAATTCCAGCTGGCAGATGATCCTTTTATCTATTCTATTTCTGGTATAGGAATTCAGATAGTTCAACCACAATATCATTGTTTTACTAATGAAGCATTCTATCTGATCCTGATTCATATCATATTGTCATCGTACTTCTATCTGGACCGTTCTGGTCTTCTTTGTGGAATGTATGTTTGATTCTTTCCTCTTTTTTTTTTTTTCTTTTTCTTTGTTCATTTTTGTATTGACTTATCTAAAATTAATATAAAGATTTAAAAAAAAAAGACCTATTCCAAAAACCTCTAGCTTCAGTTTCACTTAAACCTTCACTCAAAGTGTCTCATTAATCAGCAGGTATTTCAAAGTTAGCTGCTTTCTCTTATAAGGAACCCTTTCTAATTTTTGACAAGGACAAAGTTCTCTTATGTCCAGCACCCTCCTTTCTACCTAGAGTGGTATCTGCCTTCCACCTTAGTGAAAACGGCCTTCCTTCAGTGTGATTTGTTCCTAAGCATTCCAATAAAATTTCTCTCCTTTGTTTTGATGTAGTCACAACTATCAAAATCTATCTAAAGGCCACAGTCTCTAACTGGAAAATGGACCCTTGCCAGCAGGGCATTGAAAAGGACACTCTGCTTTCAAGTGCACTATTGCAAGAGTCTATGAATATCCAGCCTGTGTCCTGTACTGTAGGATTTCAGATAAAAGGAATTTTGACTTTCAGTGCTGTATAAACTGTATGTGGCTGTGTACAGTTTTTTGTGTTAAGACAGCAGTATGGGGACTTCTTGTTCCATTACTGGATCAAAATCCATTCAGGTTAAACTCTGCTCAGCCATTCACAGGAAGCCTTGTGTTTTAGGAAGGCTTCCTCTGATTGGTTGAGGTGGAGAGCCTGACATCATCTGCCCACCTCTCCACCTCCAATCAGAGGAAGCCTTGTATTCTTTCATAAAAATACAAGGCTTCCTATGAAAGGGTGAGTAGCACTTGGCTAGACTAAATTTTTGTTCTGGGATCAGGACAGGAAGTACCTGTACTGCTACCATAATCCAGAACTGTATACTGTATGTAGCTAATGCTACATACAATTTATGCGGCGCTAACAGTCACTGCAGGGTGACACATAGAGAACAAATATGCAAAAAATTATTCAAAAAAAAATTGCCAGTGCAGATGCATTGGCTAGGCCTTGCAGCTTGGTAACTAAATTGCTCTAGTCTCAGCCATAAGGCCTAGCTCATGAGGCGTTCTGCAGAAAAAGCATCGGTATCATGGCAAAGTGCTGTTTCACATGGTGGAGTCTTGCACTACTGTCACCCCCAGGACACCACTTCCAGGGGGTGCCTGACACAGTGGGCTCTCTGCCTTTCTAGCCTCTGACCAGACAAGGTAGCACAGTTTATTTAGGAGGCACTGGACCAGGGGCGGACTGACAACTCATGGGGCCCCTGGGCAATAGGGGATCATGGGGCCCCAGTGTCATCATCCACACTCAAACACCACCCAAAGAAAAGCCTATGAAAGGTACTAGGGGCATCTCATTGGGCCCCTTAATGACCCTGGGCCCTCGGGCAGTGCCTGAGTACCCGAATGGTCAGTCCGCCCCTGCACTGGACCCTGTCTTGATCCTCCACCAGGGAATGATTCCCATGCCACACTTAATCCATTGGGCACACTTGTTTGTTCCCACAGGAAGATTCCTCAGTACCCCTCATACCAGCAGGGGTACTCAGCCAGCCAAAAGGCCAGAATAATGGTAGCACACCCCTACTGGACACTGATGAGAACAAATACTACACTTGATCTTAGCCAAAGGGCCGAGAAGCAAACAGAGGGTTAAGTTGGGCTTTAAGAACACGATCTTTGGTGCTATTGCTGTTTAAACATGTCTGAGACTTCTCTGTAATTTAGTAACCGGAACCCTGGTTGTGATTGATAGAAATCCTTTATTTTTTCTTTATCTAGGTCTCATTGTACATTCTTGTTTTATGCCCACAGGTTCAGGCCCTGAATTCAGCAAGCAAATTTGAAAATGAGATTCGGGCAGAGCAGGATGAGAGGAAGCGACTGGAGGAAGAAAAGAAAAACCGCAGAGCTGCCTTCAAAGAGCTGAAGTCTGCATTTAATTAGTCTTTGACCGTTCCCTGATTCTTATGTCCGGCCTCGGTCTTTAGGTTGTTTTAAATAAAACACAGCCCAAGGCTCTGGCACCTTGGCTATTCTTTACAGTCAGGCCTAGTCCCTTAGATGCAAGTCCTGCTGAAGCTGAGAGCTTAGACCTTTTTAATACTTTACTGCAAGGAAATCTTGACCTGGGCCAAGTCAAGAAGCTGAGAAAGGTCTTTTAAATAGCAATATGTGCTTACATATAATCTTCATCCTAGTTCAACTTGTCCATTCAAAATGTGCCTTAGATAATTGCTGCTAGCTGGTCAAAGTGCTGCCTTTATTTACCAGTTTCTGAAATATTCAATTTCAAAAAGATAATGGGTTTGTACATTCTATAAATTATATATTTTTTAACCATTCCTTTTAATAACATCCACTGTAAACACATAGGTAAACTTATTCCTGACCCTGCCTCACATAGACCTTTTATTAATAAAACTGCAAGTTGGTAGAATACTAAATGTTTAAACATTCCTTGTAAAAAAAAAAAACTAAAGATCAACAGAGCCTTTGTATTTCACTATCTCCATATTACTTTATCTGTAGCTGAAACTCTGCAAGGTAAGAAAAGCAAGTTCCAGATTACATGGGCCATTGTTTGCAGTCACCTAAACGTTATAAATACTGCATTGCTCTCAATGATGATCTCATGTTTCCATATTTGTCTGTAGATGCAATCAGCTTTACACAGAGGTGAGACAGTCTTGGCATTCTGATGCCGGAAGGCCTAGCGGGGCAGCGGTGAAACATTTTGTGCCAGTTAACAAAGCAGTCCATAGACGAGAGCAATTTTTGGGCAAGTGGCCTATGTGCCTGAGAACTTTGCAACATTCTGCCATGTTTATTATACTTATTACGATTTTGAGTATTAAATGCTGGCTCTGGAATATATCCAAATTACAAGCATGAACCAGTTCTACAGGATGTCATATGACAAAAACTGCACAATAAATAGTCCTCTTGGTGGTTGATACTAAAAATGATATGGGGGGTAGGATTTAAACCAAGATTGTGTTTGGCCAGAGTAATGTGTACTCTGCTGTTCTTTAGCTGTTGTAAAGCTTCAGGTCTTATGAGGCTCTAACAAGTCTTGCAGTTCATATGAGCTGACGAGCCTCATCTGGCTGCCTCTATATTACACCTGTGCAAAGGTAAGCAGTTCCTTGCAGTGCTGGCTGCTGAAGGATAGTAGTTTTTAATTTTAAATCATATTTATGGCACCCTGCAGAATGATAGGAAGACTGTGCAGAAAATGTGATCACATATTGTTCATTCTCCTCTGTACTGGTTTATACAGAAACCTTATCAGTTTGTATAGGAAAGAACCATTCAAATGTGAAATGTTGATTGAAGATTAGAATCTACAGCTGCCTCCCTTCTTGTGTGCTGATCATGATGTTGGCAGACTTGGTACTTTAGCTGTTAATAATTGTTCCTTGTATCAGGGATTGGTGTTACTAGAGACGTAACACATCTGACCCTTGTCCTGGGACCATGTGATATACACCTGGTGAAAGCTTTCCCGTGTTCAGTCATACCTGTTTGGCTACTATTATATACTCATTTTATATAAATATAAAAAATAAATATGTTTTACTAATAAAAATGTGTATATGTTGATTTGATTCAGAAATATGATTTTATCTGTCATGTCGCCCTGTGTAGATAGGTATAGCTACTACAAGGTGTGTTCAAGTCAAACCAGGACTTTGAGTTGATATAATAAAAGAACAAATTTCAAGAAGTGGAAACTGCATTTATTTTTCTCCATACTACCCTGCTACATTTATACTCGTACCCCATCATTTAACTATTGCCTGGAAAGTTTCGGCAAGATTTGTCAGTACTTGTGTTCACCGTTCCCACAGAAATATGTCTTTTGTGCAATTTAATGACAGGTTATGCATCGATTATAAAGGATCAGGCATTCCACGTGCGGAATGTCCACAGGAAGGACTGCTGTGGGCTGGGAACCACCACGGCCGGAATCGTCACTGACTGAGGTACAGCTATCTTTGAACGGTTTACACCATTCAGATGTCTTACTGCGTCTGAACGTCTCATCACCGTACTGTGCTTGATGTCTTCTGTAGATATCCGTGGGTTTTACACCTTTTTGTTCAGAAGAAACTTAATAACCACACACAGTTCCATGCATGCACTAACACTCTTGTCTGCCATCTTGATTAACAATCTCTGGACTGGCCCACGACATGTGCACCGCCTATTAGTAATAGGACACACTTGCAACTTACTACTGTGTGTAGAACCACCAAGCTAGCATCCCTTTTTTATACCTGGAAAATTAAAAGTCCTGGTTTGACTTGAATTCTCCTTGTAGTTGGCTGCAAACCAAGCATTCGCTTAAGAGCTGTTGCCCACTAGAATGCAGTGGGGAGTAAAGGTGCATATAACTTCCACACCACCCTTGTCAGACAGGTGTGGATATTTACATTAGCACTTCAAATGCATCTAGCAAATGTAACACATTTGTGCCAACCAAACCTCATGGTACAGCAGTACCATGCGGTTTGGTGCGCCACATTTTGAAAACGTAGCACCTGCATTACTTTTTGCGTGTTTCTGTGTGTTTGCAAGCCGATTGAAATGAAAGTAACACACACAAACGCGTATTGCAGTGTGATCCGGCTCTAAAGGTGGGAGGGTGCAATGAAAATATGGCAATACATTAAACCCTGTATACCAGCCTTTCTCATCCTTTTTCAACACAGAGGAACCCTTGAAATAACTTTCCGGGCTCAGGAAAACCCTGCTAAAAATGACTATATCTACAACTCATGATACATTAGTGTGATAATCATAAGTAAGAATGCTGCTTACACTTGTGGTCAGTGGGAAGAATTAGCCCCTTTCAGAGAGCTAAAAAAGATCAGTGGTGTCAGTGGGAACTTACCTGAGAGGCACAAATTGCTCATTGCTCAAGGAACCCCTAGCAACCTCTGGAGAAACCCTGGTTAAGAAACCCTGCTGTATACATAATTTGATTCATTTTATGAAGTATTTGGCTGGGCATCTGGTGGTTGGTTCTGTTTTTCATTAGCTGGATAAAAGATATGAGCCATTGAAATACAGTGCCAGTGGATTTCGAACGCTGACATGTGCCACTCAAAGGTTGCCACATAAACAGCATGATGACATAGACTGATACTCCTATTGAACTGTGGATGGTATATTTGACTGACCATCATTTTTATATGGCTATTCTAAAGTGACGCTTGCACATGTGCAGTGCAATGGAAACAAGAACCAATCATCCCAAGGTCATCTCCTGCATGCATGGCACTATCCTGATGTTATGGAAAGGTTGGGTCTTACTGATTTTGAACTGTGCATGCCTGTGACACCAAATCTAGTAATGTTCTCTTACACATGCACAACTGCAATAGGAGTGAGACCCAACTCTTTACATCAGGTGAGTCATCAAACTGTGGATAAGTGTTGCACTATTACAAAAATATATTAAAGTGACCAATATATAAGAACCAATATAAAAAATAGTCCATAGTGAGTGAACCATACATTGTCAGTCCCCTTTAAAGAGAGCATAACTAAATCTTCTCTCTTCATCCAATATCATCAGTGTAACCCCTCACCACAGTGAAGGCAAGATGTAAGCTTACCAAATCAAAAGACCTCCTTCTTCACAGTGCCTCAGCGGCAACTCTCCACTCATATCTCTATGCTGTTCCTCTCCACAGCTCCTCAGATGGTAAATGCAGCACAGGCAAGTAAAAGTCATGTCACAGTAAGCAGATAAATACTTCCCATAGTGTAGGCATCATCAACACCATTTATTAGATATAAAACCGCACTTACAAACATTGTGCAAAAACATGCACATATCAATATATTCACCAGCTGGAAACAACTTCCATCTCACTTCCTGTACGCAATGATCTCATGGGATTGAATGAAATCTTTTGTTCTGTTATCGTACGAGAAAATTTTCGTGCTTTTTTTTTTTTTTTTTTTTTTTTCTGATATTTTTGCGTGAACTCTCATGACCAGCTCTCAATCTGATCATTAGTGCACAGCTTTTATTGGACGATCACTCCGAAAAGCGGTATTTTTCATCTGATATTCTCATTGTGTGTATAGTACGAGGCTTTACTCATTTGTTTAATTGCCTTGATGTTTCCAACTTTCTTATGCCACACCATTTCTATTCCATTTGATTGGCTAGCATTGTTATGTTTACAACATCAGACATTCTAGTCACACATAAATGGATCGAATCTCTGCCGGTGCTGCAGGGACCAGTTGAGAGTTGATCCATCAATGAACAGACTGATTGTACCCAAGTTATTTCATTGATCGACTTGGGTACAACCAGCCTGTTGGATTTTTGGCATGCGATTCCTGGCTATAGCTGCTAGCAGTAATCATTATGTTCTGCTGTCCGGGAAGGCTCCCCTCTAGGAGAACACAATAGATCTGCAGGAGGGATTCCCCCATCAACACTTAACTGTGTTGATGGGGATATAGAGCGATATTCTTTCTTGCAACCGCAAATCTATGGCTTGCCTTAGCCTGCAGACAGACTGAAAGAGTCACTGTCCTCTTTGTGTTGGCACACCTAGACCTGATGACTAGATTGGCAGGCAAAGAGTCACCTTACACTGGTTGAAGTTCAGTTTTAGGTGTGCAAAATCTGATCACAGAGAGTACATTCTGGAAAAATTACACCATACAGAGACACCAACAATTAGGATTCAGCTGGTTTTTACTGGTAGGCAGGGTAGCAGGCTGGAAACGTTTATCATATACAGGAGGGAGTTACCATCACTCATATTGTTACTACCACTCATTGGCCATAGGTCTTGGCTTATGTTGGCTATGTAGAAATCCAGCCTTCATGTAGCTGAAATGGCCTTCTGCATGTTCATAGGATGTTTAAACCCTACAAGCAAAGGTCATGCTGGTACAGATGGTTGTTTTGCTGAGTGGTGTACAATGAATGTAGTACAAAGCAACTCCATAGGACCATGACCTATTGCCATCCTTTGCTGACCAGCACAGACTGATGCTGATGGGGCTTAGACCTCCACAGCAGCCATCTGCAGCTGTTCTAATAGGTCTGGTATGACATTGTGTATCTCCCTAGGCCTTGTTCAAGCTTGCATAAGAGCAGTATGTACAGCAAGCTTCCTATGTACTTGCCAAGTTTAAAGCAGCATCATTGAAGTTTTTAACCACTTGCCTACCACCCTATAGCAAATAATATACTTTTACAGGGCAGCTGCTCTGTGCAAAACTACAGATCTATACGTGATTTTGCAGTCCCGCACTACCATTGGTTGCAGTAAATGTCAATCACCGGGACCCAGCCGTCCCTTGGTGATCGCTGCTAAAGCTGAGAGGGGAGAGATCTGTGTGTAAACAACCCAGATCTCTCTCCTGTCTGCATAGAGAGAGAGAGCAGAGAAAGCAGCATGTCTCCCTAGTAAAAAAGAAAAAAAAAAAGGAAAAAAAAACAGCCCACAGTGTAAGTACAACACACAGTTATCCCTTTGATCGCTCCAGATGTTAACCCCTTCCTGCCCAGTGTCATTAGTACAGTGTCTGTGATTTTTATTAGCACTGATCACTGTATTAGTGTCAATGGAGATGTCAGTGGCGATTAGTCAGTTCTCACCCAGTGTCAGAATGCTCACTGCAGTTCTGTTATAAGTTGCTGATCACCGCCATTACTAGTATATATTAAAAAAAAAAAAAAAAAAAAATTCCAGTATATATACCGCCATTTGTAGACGCTTAACTTTCATGTAAACCAATTAATTTACACATATTGGGATTTTTTTTTTTTTTTTAGTAAAGACATGTAGCAGAATACATTTTGGTCTAAATTTTATGAAGAAATTAAATTTTTTTATTTTTTTTTATTGGATATTTTATAGCAAAATGTCAAAAATATTTGTTTTTTTAAAAATTGAGTCTTTTTTTTTTTAAAGCGCAAAAAATAAAAACTGCAGAGATGATCAAATACCACTGAAAGAAAGCCCTATTTGTGGTAAAAAAAAATTGACATAAATTTACTTTATGTACAGTGTTGCATAACAACGCAATTGCCAGTTAAAGTATTGCAGTGCTGTATAACAAAAATGACCTGGTCAGGAAGGGGGGTAAATCCTCTGGAGGGCAAGTGGTTAAATGACCATTCAGCTCTAGTTTTGGAAGGTTGGGCACATATTTTTAGGGACCCATTCTCACCTTTCTGTTCTGGACTCGTGAGTTAATGTGCATCATGTCACCATGCATTAACAGGCCTATTCAATTGAATGGGCTGTTGATGCTCCAAAACAGACAAAAACAGGTGTACGATTTTTTAGCAATACAGCCCACCACAATGCATGGCATTCCCTTATTGCATTTGGGTGCCATTAAAAATGAATAGCATCGCAACACAGTAATGCATAGGTTTGAATGGGCCTTCATAGGAGTGCTGAGTGTCACTGGCACTAGCATCAGAACTGAAGTGTAGTGTATGTGTGTCTAAAATATATACTGTATATAGATATTGAGTGAACATACATACGTCAGTGACAAGTACATTTACACATTAAAAGGGAGGTCATCAAGATTGATAGAACTTGCAGACTATTCCTATGCTAATTCTACTCAACAGGCAGACAGTACCTATATAACTGTAACAAGAGAACTGCTGACTGGTCAGATATTCAGTAGTTTACTGTCTTGGGTAATGGGGGTTGTAGACATGGTAGCTTAATGGTAGGTCTTCATTGTTGCTGTCAGTAAAATGCAAGTAGTCTTTTCATGTTAGAGTGAAAAGTGCTTGAACAACCAATCAACTGTTTTTAGATGGGGGGGGGGTGTATATAAAGAAAATATTTTTTTTCTGATTGCTGACACAACATCATTATGGAAGTACAGGCCTAGAAGATAACCCACATGATTGCATGCATGGAAGCTTCCTAGATGCATATTATAGATTGGACATATCCTGGATTGTGTAGCATCTCTATGCTTGATATGAAATATTTTAAATGGCACTCTGAGGGCTGCAGTTCGTATTAAGTGTTCTTGCATGGCAAGACCACTTACTGTTATCTCACATATATATTCTTATTATTATAGCCAAATTTACCACCCTAACTCCTCCCACAGTTTTTACACTATATAGACAGTAATATACCGAAACGTGCGGATTGTTCCTGATTGGTGTGCTATTACTTTGTGGAACGTTTCGCCGAATGGTTCACGAAATATTGGCGTTTTTCTGGTGAAATTGGTCTCATAGGAATGAATGGCGGAATGTTCAAAACTAGAGTGGGAGCTGACAAAAGCTAGAGTGTGAGCTGAAAAATCAGGACATTATTTCTAAACTGCCATAACTCCCTCATTTTCAAGCCCACCTACACAAATCTTATATCAAAACTTTCAGATATCCCTGCTGCCACTAAAAATGTCTACAGCTAAGCCATAGTCCTGATAATTTTCACAATATGACCATTTGTTTGCAACTCATGCCGCCCATTGATATTCATTGAAACTCCACTCTAGCCACCTCAGATTTGAAGGGCAATTTCTAAACTGCAACTGTGCCTTCATTTTTAATATTTCAGAGACATACTATGCATCAAAATGTAGGTCTGATGGGCCTTGTGATTCTCACAATATAAAGCTCTTTGGTGTAGGATTTATCATTTTTAAACTACAACCGTTTGAAGATGGCAACCGCCAGTGAAGTGAGCAAGTTGGAGCAGTTTGTTTTTAACCGCTCTTCTCTGCCCTTGCTGTAGAGTGAGTTGCCATAGGAACCCAGGTGTGTGAGCAGGCAGCAGAGTGACAAAAGCTACTTACTCAAGCCACTCCACCCAGTTACTCCGCCCACTCCAGTTGTAGACTACTGCTGGAGGCAAGAACACTTCACACAAATATCCCCAGAAATTGTAGCTTTTCTAGTTTACAAATATTTTGCTGGATTTTGTTATCTGTTGAAAGTATCTTGTGTCCTGGGCCGGGACCTAATAAATGCATCTCTCTAGAAAAGAACCATTGAACTTCTTGTTGTGGGAAAATTAATTTCTTGGATAGAGGAGTTTTGCATTCCATATTGGCTATCAAACTCTTGCCTCAACAACAATAAAGATAACAATAATTATCACTCCTCATCCTTGAGATATGACAACATGAAGTGCTATTTAATGGCTTCAACAAAGCTGGTTGTAGCTTGCCGAAGTTTACTGTACACACTGCTCTTCTATAAGCTGAAGCTAGTGGGAAGAAGGCTTTAGCCAGACACCCCAATTAAATAACTGCTATATGTCCTGGTCCTCTTCAATGACTTTGCCCATTCTTCCTCTCTATTCCAAGTAACTGCAGCGGCATCTTGGCTAGTTTTGTGATGTCTGTAAGCAGAGTGGTCCCCACTTATATTAATAAAATTCTTCTTTAAGGTAGGCTCAGACAAGGTGCTGACTAATTTCTGTGTGCAGAAAATTATATTTAAAGTGTTACTAAACCCAGGAGCATACATTCACTATATGTTGTATAGTAAATATAAACTGCTAAACCCCTTTTCTCGTCAGCAATATATAGCAGTCTTGTGACTTCTATCAGTGTCCTACCAAACACTGGTTAAAGCTTGTAGGAGGAGTTTTCATTCTCCCCTGAGGCTACATGACCCTGATCCTCTACTCAGTGCTGATTGGCCCTGTGCTGATCACATTCACCCAAAGGAAAAAAAATTTTTTTTTCTAGCAATACACACCAAACTGAGCATGTGCAGAGTACCTCCTAGGGCTCTGTTCTATCAGCAGATGGATTGGGATAGTATAAGGGGAGGATCAGAGAAGACCAGATCAAACAGTCTTACACAATGCAGAGGATTAACCCCTTAGGTTCCACAGTGAGTATAACAAGCATGCTTTACTGCATATACAGACCGATTTTACTGTTGGGGTTTAGTAACACTTAAACTGAATGGTTTATGTATTGGTTTTACAAACGATTCATTGTCTTGAAATTTATGTGACTTTACTTTGTACCTACAAAAGTTGCCTTATTTACTGTGACAGACTATACAGTGAGTAGGCTTAGGCTCTCTTTCAAAATGCCTATTTAATCCACAGATATTGTTTAGAGTAATATAGCCACATTTTTATCTTTAGTATACTTAAAAGAGAAGTATGAAAAAAACATTATACTCACCTAGGTGGATGCAGCATCGATCCACCGCCGGCTCTGCAGGGAGAACTGAGTAATGAGACACCACTGATCATTCAGTTCTCCCCTCTGCTCTGAGCAGAGAGCCATGACTGTCAGACTCCGGCTCTCTGCTTTGCCCCTCCAGTGCTCACCTAAGCGGTGGGCTGTAAAGGGGGCAGGAGGGGCTGGCTCAGGCTCTCTGCGGATTGCTAGGAAGCTGAGCCAGGTGCTATCCACTGCTCCAGGCATCCGGGTGGATTCCAACCAAATGGTTGGGATCTTTTCAGAGCCTGGAATGGCTAAGTGGCATCAGCCCACAGTAGATTTTAGCTCACTGTCGGCTGAAAACGATCACAGAAGTGCAGAACGAACTACAGTTCTGTGACCTACAGAAGTACAGCCAACATAACTTTAGCAATACTTCTCCTTTAAGGGTGCCTCAGGTTTTTTGGAATTCTGACAATGCCCACATTTTGCCTTACAAGCAACCCCTATGTCTGTACCCTCTTCCTGCATTGGAGGGTAACATGTTGAAAGGTCAGTCCCTACGCCGATCTTCCAGCACTGAAAGCTACTGATCTCTGCTGTAACAGGCAAAACAAGTGAAGGAAAGCTCTTTTCTTTATGGTGAAGAATTATTCCAGAAATTTACAAAGAAAAATTTAAACAATGATCAAAGTAGAGGGTAAGCTATTCTAGGGTCTTTAAAAGTTTACTTTCCAAATGGAAAGTGCAGGAAGCAGTGAGCAATGCCAAGTGTTTCCTGTACAGAAAGTACTGGGATGGGACTTAAATCCTCAAGCCAACTTTTACTGTGCTGAAGACCAGTCTGTGACATTTTAGAACTCGTTCCATAATTCTCTTTGCATGAGAACCTTGATCTAGTCTCTACCATGTAGGTAAAATGTGACTCATTTACATGACTAGAAGGTAGGTCTGTACATAGAGAGAATGCCAATGTTATCCAGGAAACGTTGCCACTAGAAGGATAGCCTACAAAATTAAACTTTAAGTGTAATGCCACACCACAGTTCTGCTGAGATGCAATAAAACTCTCCATATCCGTTATATTTATTCCATGAATATTAAATTGATGGATGGTGGACTTCTACCTGTTGCTGCATGGGGGGCAACCTGTACTTGACTGCCAATCACTTTCCTCTTCCTGTGTTCTCAGTGAGAGGGTCTTTGTGCTGAAGTCCCATGATCAGTACAAGACCATGATATTTTTAAAGCATTTCTCCCAGTACCCATGATTTGTAGTGTGTGACATTTTGTCAGATTCAAGCCCAGTATATATGTACCAAAATTTGGCCAGTTCAGCAGGAATAGCCGAAATTCAGTCAGTTTGTACTGCTGTCTGTTCAACAGAAGCTGGTCTAATGATCATGCTGGAAAACCTGCCATTCAATCAGTGTTTGCAGCCAATGGCTACAAGTACTGATCTGTTTTTTCTGGGGGGATGGCCTGCATCAATATCGCTTGTGTGGATGCGGGATCCACTCACGGGTTGTATGAGAAAAAAAAAGTGTGTATACCCAGATAGAAATTCACAACTCAATGCAGACAGAAAAGTTTATTAACCACATGGTTACCGCGCTATAGCTGAATGACGGCGCAGTTGTCCAGTTCTAGAAGGGCGTCATATGACATTCTCCCAGAACGCATCCTCCTGCGTGCCCTCAGCGGCTTGCACCCGATGATCTCTGTCAGCAGCTGTTACCGAGCAGATTGGCACTGATGATCAGTGCCCTGCGGTGCCACCCACCAGTGCCCATCTGTGTCCAGCAGTGCCACCCACCAGTGCTCATCTGTGCCCCCCAGCAGTGCTGCCCAGCAGTTGTGCCCATCGGTGCCGTCAGTGACCATCATTGCTGCATATCAGTGCAGCATCATCAGTGCCTCCTCAACAATGACCACCAGGGCCGCCTCATAAGTGCCACATCATCAGTGCAGCCTATTAGTGGCCATCAGCGGTGCCTATCCATGCCGCCTATCTGTTCAGCCTCATCAACACACATCAGTGAAGGAGAAAAATTACCTGTTTGCAAAACTTTGTAATAGAAACAAAGAAACTTTTTTTTTTTGCTCTGTTTTTGCAAAAAATAAAACACCCAGTGGCAATTAAATACCACCAAAAGAAAGCTCTATTTGTGTGAAAAAAATGATAAAAACTTTATATGGGTACAGTGTTGCATGATTGCGCAATTGTCATTCAAAGTCCAACAGTGCTGAAAGCTGAACATTGGCATGGGCAGGAAGGGGGTAAAAGTGCCCGGTAGGCAAGTGGTTAAAGGATAAGTTCACGTTTTTACAAAAAATAATAAATGCACATTTTTTTGCAGGTAAAAAAAAAGTGCATTTATTATTTTTTGTAGTAGGAGCCTGTAAAGCATTGCATCAGCGATCAGCAGATCTCTGATGCCATGCACGTCTCCTGCAGACTGTCAGTGTATCTGCTTGCTCGTAGATCCCGTACAGGCACATCTGACAGGAAGACTCCGTGAACTACCACAGTACTCACAGTGCCATGGTAGTTCATTGAAAACTGCAAGCTGACAGCCGCTAAGGCTGTAGACTTGTAGTCTATTCATTCACAGAACACTGTGAATGAATGACGTGGCCATGTAGACCAAGCCCCACACGGCCGCACTGTTTTCAAAAATTGTCATATGGAGAATGGGGGGGCTGCAGGATTGGAAGTAGATTGCAAGTACATGAAATATGTAAATGATAAGGTAGGTTAAATTATACATCTGTCAACAGTATATGCCAGTCAGCTTTCACTGGGAATGTTGTCAATCATGCAATAAATGTCTATAGTCCCTCCATGACTCCCATTTTTTATCAAATAAGTGCATCTTATCCAGTAGGGTATAATGAATGCGTTCCATGAGCATTACAGCATCAATTCTGTGTAAAACGGAGGCCAAGGGTACAGCATTGGACCTCCAATGTAAGGCAATAGACCATAAAGTGGCAATACATATAGTATGTATCAATCTCATAATGGCATCAGAGACCCCTGGGATATGAGCCCCCAATAGACAGGTCTGTATAGACAATCGTACCGGGGTACCCGCCAGTGAGGTAGCCACCTCAGATATCTCGCACCAAATCAAAGTTATGGTTGGGCAATCCCAAAATATATGAACCAAAGTACCTGTGAGGCCACAGCCTCGGAAACATAAAGCGGACGTTTTGTGGGAACAACACATGTAGTCTTGATGGGGTGTAATACCATCTGGTTAAAACCTTAAGGGCCGCCTCACGAACAGAAAGAGATCTAGAACATTTACATATGTTATCCACCATGGAATCCCAATCCTCATCCAAAAAAGTGATACCACTATCCTTCTCCCATTTTTGTCTGTATAAAGGGGGTGTAGGAAAAAGACAGATCAAAGATTGGTGATAAAGATCAGAAATAAGACCCCTACCCCTGGGAGAGTCACGGCTGATACATTAAAAAAAAGGAAATCGGAGAGGATGGTATAAGGCCAAAATGCGAATTAAAAAAGTGTCTAATCTGTCGGTAATGATGGTACTCACGAAAAGGAACATCAAAAAACACACGCAGCATATCAAAGGTAATGTAAGATCCTCCTCTTTGGAAATCAGATAATCTGATAAAGGAACGGTCATACCACCAGCGAAACATTTGAGGGGAAGAAAAAGCTGCAACAAAAGTAGGATCACCAAAAAATGAGACACCTGGGGGAATAAGAGAGACTAGATTCAATTTAAATTTATATTTGGACCAAAGTGTCAGTGAATGGGTCACTATGGAGTTATGGAAAGTAAAGCGATCGAGGGGAGATCTTGGACCACAAAATACCCGGTAAATAGAATGGGCGTATAGACTGAGATTCAAACTTGATCCATGGGGTCTGAGCGTTAATAGTTGCCCATTGCGATAGTTGCGCAAAACGAGCCGAGAGCTAATACAGCCAAAAATTGGGAAGACCTCCTGTCCGTTGTGAGCGGTACAAAATGGATGAAGCAAAACGTGGACGCTTATTACCCCAGATAAAATTGTTAATAGTCCGCTGAAAGTGTTCCAAAAACGTTTTCGAGACCGGAACTGGAAGTGCTCTAAAAAGATAAAGTAGTTTAGGCAAAATATTCATTTTAACCGCCGTGACTCTACCCAGAAAGGAAATAGGGTAACCATGCCAAATCTTCAATAGAGTAGAGAGACGTGATACACATGGTGGATAATTATCAGTAAATATATCCGAGTATCTGGGAGTGAGATTAATACCTAAATAGGATATCCGATCCATGACCCAAC